GGGACAAAAAATAGCCAAATTTTTTGAGAAAAAAAATGAAAATTAGGGTTTATTTTCAGAAATATTGAAGAACATATAGAAAAAAAAGTGCAGAACAATTTGGGAGAGAAAGTCTGGTGGTGAAAAGGTTAATAGAACGCATTTCCTGTGCATGCACGCAATCCAAGAAAGGCAAAGTTTCAGCAATAATAAAACTGATGAGGTCAAAGGACAAACTACGTTTAATCTCATTACCAAAATTAAATAAAAAATATTACAAGTCATTCTTCTCATCCAAGTTTCATGATATCAGTTCATGCATTTTAAAATATGATATTATCGTGAGAAGATTTGCATGCATGTATGCGTTTAGTTGAGGTCGATATAACTGTGCACTATCTGAGTGCATATACTCTGCGGTTTTCTCAAAATAAACTCGTTATACAGATATAAAGCCACATTTATTAAAGTCTCTTTCAGTTTCCTGTGAGTTTGTGCAGTATGCATATACAGATGACCGCATATATTGTTAAATGGAATTGCATGCTGTAATTATTATTGTATTTTCTGCCTTCTAATGTGGTAAATGACGTGTTGCTACCTATAGCAAGAGCATATTGCATGGTGTTACAACATCTGAATATTATTTAAAATTAAAAATCTTATTTACTGCATTTATTTGTACACCAATATAAAAAAAAAAACTGTCTAAAAAAATTATGTACATTGATAAAAAGTTAAAACGATACATTGCCTTAAAGCGGGGGTGTCTTCACCTTTGCATGCGTCAGATGGCCATAGCATGTCATTGTTTACAAACAAACGTCTACCAATGACCCTTTGTGATTTTAGGCGTGTGTTGTTATCGTCGCTTGATACTCAATTCCCGTGCGTGCGCAGGTGACGACCCTCTCGCTTTAAAGTTCATATGTTGTTCATGACAGCAAAACCAAAATGATAAACCTCCTTTTTTGACTTGCCGAAACATTCAGTGTTGAAAGACATTGTGCCAGGAGTATCCTTAGGCAAACATGGGATGCGTGGTGTAGATCTAGACAGATTAAAGTCTAGGGAAATGTTATCTTGTACATGTATGCAGCCATTTTATTGCCAGCATGGAAAACAGCTGAAAATCACATATGATGTGTTTGTTGTATACTTCATTGAATGAAATGAAATGAATATAATGGCTAATCAGCATCGGTTTAAACTGATCCTCACCTACTGATCATACTCACATTGGAGATTCTCCTCTCTCTCTTGCCAAATGAATAATTAAAGATGTTTATATCATCTAGCTTAGAATTTATTCTTTTATCTCTACTCTCTTTGGAGCCTTATATCTGTATGACTGTCAAGAAATTGACAATCCATCCACTGAGGTGGTAAATATCAATCCCAGACCACTGCTTTTATTTATTACCATTTTGAGTTGGTTTGTTGAGCTGTTGGATATAACCTCATTAGAGGATACTCATCCCTTTCTATTTTCCCAGTTTAATCATAAAACAATCTGATAAACATCATGTATATATTTCCTTCTTCCTCAGGATTGATGATATCATTGTAGGTGCTCCATTTTTTACTGACAAGGCTGGCACAGCTGAGAAATGGGAAGCTGGTAGAGTTTACGTCTATCTTCAAAATCATAATGTAAGTTATGAGATTTACTGCTTTCTTCTATTTTAAGTGTTTAACTGTTAATACCAGGTAACTTTATTTCAGCTGCAAAAACAAACAAATTTAGTTGTCACAAATTTGAAATAATTGTTACTGATATGAACTACATGCAGCAAATATTTTGGCTGATTTTATCCTTTCAGCAAATGCATTTTAACATATAGCACTGGAAACTGGCACAGATACATTCATTGAATAATTTTCCTTGAATCTAATATAGCTAGTCCAACACTGTGAACTTACATGTAAATTTTTGTCTTTAAATGCATCATTTAAAGCAAATTGTAAAAATGAAAATAATATTGTAAAAGTTTATATTCTCTAAATACAAAATACCTTGTCAGGAGTCATAGAGTGTGGTCTATGCTTTTTCTGAGTGGCAAGAATGGAAAATCCACTCATTAGGTGCTCAAATGTAGTCTCTACATCACAAAAATATGTAGGTGCAAAGTTTGCATTTTTAGTTGAATTTTAGGTAAAGCAGTACCACAGCCATTCACTGGCCACTTAGAGATAAACACACAAAAAACAAGCATGAACCCCTTCCAGCTACAAATATGACTGTAGTTACTTAACATCAGACATCAAGTATCTCTGCTACTTGTTGGTGTCCTTGATGACAAATACAAAGCTTAACATAAGATGGAAATAATAATTTTAGCAATACAAATATCTGAAATACCTCAGATTTATCACTTGCTTCAGCAATATGTAGTCTGTCATAGAAATACCATTAATCTTTAATAATTTCTACTACATCCAATATTCAGCACATTTATTTGAATTTTTTATTTGCTTTATATAAATATAAAAGTCTTTTGATGCTTTAATTATTTTTAATGCAAAATATTAATTAATGTAGCAGATAAATCAACCCACTTTTTTGATGAAATAGTCTTTTATATCTGAGTGATCAACTGCCTGATCAAGACAGCATGGAATCTCAGAAGCAAAAAGATTCACTTTTGAAAACGTGACAGCAGCATTGTACCTTTGTTTGGATTTTCCCCAGCCTAGTTTAAATTTCAACGAAATGTGCATACCACAAAGGTGTAATTCCAGAGATAGATTCCTCCCAAAGCTATTCCTGCCACTGTGTTTGGTACATGTATGAATGGAAATAATAGAATCTGATAGTCAGTCTTTCTGTAGGGCATATTCACTCTCTCTCTCTCTACTGTTTTATATCTCTTGCATGTAGCAAACCCCACTACTTATCACAAACTGCTACAGGGATATTCAAAGAGATGGAAATGTCTCGGAAATCCCACATGTACTATGCCTATTATGTCTTTCCCATTAGAAAACATAGAAATGCAATTGATGGGTGAGCAGCCTTTTTCATTTGGCCCTGCTTTCTTCCCATGCAGGCTTTGTAGACAATATCATTGTCATTTTTTGTTATATTTGTTATATAAGAGCTTATATGGTGACCATATATCTGGCCATGTAAGCATCAAAAAAAAAAAATTTCTCTTCTGTATGTAATTATTATAAATATTGGTTACATGGCATAATACTATCATTTACTTACTCATTTTGTCTCAGTATTGCATCGTTTTTAAAAAAATCCAAAATATTTTTAATTTAGCAAAACAACAGATGTTTTTTTAGAATTTCCTGAAATTCGAAATCAAATTACGTTCATTTTTTTCTACTTATAAGTACAAAAATGACAGATTGTTACTGTGTCATATAAACAGATCGGAATATAAAAATAGAAGTTCATTTGCCAGACGTGCAATTATCAAACTAAACTGTGTTTGTGAGGTGTTTTAATATCCACATGCTTTTCAAAATTTGTCACAAAACATCAACTTTAATTAGTTTGCCTCATACAATATTTTAAAGTCTATATTTTCATTAAATAGTAACAATTAATATTCTGAAACGCTGTCAAGTCATACTCAATGTTCATTAAAAATGCATTAGACTTGTTAATTGTACTATTTGTACTGCAGTTCATTGACATCATTAATAAAATAAAGATAAAATGAAAATGGTGTTATTATCTATGGAAATTCAAAAAAAACTTATCAGGCGATGATTCTAGTAATTCTGTTCTATTAATGACATATTATTAAAATTCTGAATAAACTGACATTTAATTTTCTTTTCAAACATGTAACAAAATCTACAGCGTCAAATTACTAATATTTATATACTGAAATATAGATATGTGACCAGCGGTATCTTAATATAACTATCAGGGTCATCAACAACATCATATTTAGTTTTTTGAAAAACCTTTTCTCATTTTCTATGATGCCCACTGTTAATATATATATTGTAATTTTATGTCAACTTAACCAAATTCTTGAGTTAAAATCTACAGTACCTTGAACAATATAGCTTTATGCAGTGTCTCTTCACTATGTATCAGACAAGCTAATAAAGCACCAATTCATCCACTTAACCATATTCCTTTTTATACATGAACTTATTGATCAACAGTAATAAGTGCCCGCAACATGAATTATTTGAATTCAAAGAACGAATAGAATTCATTTACACACCAAAGACATATTCATTAAGAATTAAGAAAAAGTGGAGTAATCCAAAGACTTGGTTTTCCATACAATTTTGATTGACAAGACTGTATATAAAACATTTGTCATGTGTTCAATAATTCATCAATACTAGAATGTTTTAGAGTTTGAATGGAAATTACTAAAGCCAGACAATTCAGCATTTCAATAACCAGCAGTCCATTTAAGTGTGGAAAATATTCAATATGAGCCATGTAATGGAAAAATTTACACAAGAATGGTACTTTGAGTCAAGGTACATTCATGCAATTGAATCTGATATCAAATATGACAGCAGAATGTGTAAGATATTGTATTGTGTTATATAATACAGTTTCTTAGCTGCTCCATGTATTTTACCATGGTTACGTCTTTTCTTCTTTTAAGCTTAGACACTATTTCAATTTTCCAAGTAATTGACATTCAGTGGAAGTTGCACTAATTCTTTGAGATATGATTAAAATTGCTTATTTTTTCTATCACAGCTGCACGAACACCAACAATTTTGTATTCATCAAATAAAATTGTAAACATTGAGCATTATGTTTATACTGACTTGCTGTAATCATGGCCTCAGTAATTCTAAAACTAGCGTGAATCATCAAATGTTTGCCATAGTTTTCACCTATTTCATACCATCAACTATATCTATATCACATAATAGTCCCTAAACACCAATAAATTTAAAATCTAAACTTTAATCTCATACAAATTAAAATCACCTGCACCGTCAAACAAAATCAGAATTACATATTTCTCTTCTTTTCAAGGTAAAAGCAGATCATCAAAAATAAACGTATAAATTAATTGTGAGACCTGTAAAGCTTTCATAAAGTCTGCCTACCCAAGTTAATCCATCAATTAGAGCATAATTGATTGATACTTTATTGAAAGCAACCCGCTTTACAAGTATTACATCTATGACTTTGGTTAATTTGCTGTTTATTTGAATATTTCGCCTTGTTCCCACATAGAGGATGGTAGGGTATATGAATGTTAAATTTGCAATGCTCATTAAACCTCAATTAAGAGTTGTATTTCTAAGTTAATGTTCGATATTAGTGAAACCTGTGTATATTATGGTTTAATTTATATTCATTAAGTTGGCATGATATAACTACATTAATACTACGGTAAGTTGTATGTGGAACTATATAGTTTTGATGGTCAAGCTCTGAAACATGTTGAATATGCCATTCATTTATTGTATTGCCACATTGTTGCAGTTCTTAATTAAACAAACAAATATAAATATTACAATGATAATCAAACTTTGAGAGTTGCCATGAACGGCAATTATTTCCATATTGTCTGATAGTGTGTACATTGGATTTGTCTTGTATTTGAAATCAAAAAGTCTACATGTATTTGCTCTGTATTTCATCTGGCAAATAATATAGGCTTTTAAGATCTTGATGACATATATTGCATAATTTTTTAAATGTTGATCAAAACAAAGAAAAATTACATGTCTTTTAGGTCCAATATTACCAAATAATTTACCATTATAAAAAAAATGCATAAGTGTACAAAAATAGACATTGAAATGGTACTGTAAAATAGATATCGGCAATCCATGACTATCGGTGGAGGATTTCAGCTGTCATTATGTTAAAATGTAGTTTAGAATAGCTTTCACTGACAGGGACTGACTGTCATTCACGACCATTTATTTTACAAATATAATTCATTTCTGGGACATTCGTGATTCCCTGATGCATCTAGACTATAGTTGTTTTCTTCCCAATAAATATCCCAGTTCTGTTCAAAATACATTTTACAACAACCCTTTTACCGAATTGATCATAAATTCCACTATACTGTTAGATTATGGAATTATCTTCCGTTGTACACAAAGTCATAACATTTTATTGTATTTCTAAAAAAGAAAATAACTCATTCTTTTGTTTCCAGAATGATTTTAGTGATCCTTCAATGCTGACTGGAGTTCAAAGCCGAGCAAGATTTGGTTCATCGCTTGGAACATTACATGACATTAATCAAGATGGATTCAAAGGTGATTAAACATCTATTCAAACTATTGAATCTCTGAGAGGGTAGCTATTTCCTGTAAAATATCACTCACATTGTGGCTATTTCAATATTAATCATTTAAACCGCATTGTTAACTTTCAATATGTTGGTTTAAAGAGAAAAGGTCTAATCAAATTTTATAGTGCATGTGCTCATTTTAATCGTTGCACAGTTTATAGTGTGTGTTTACATTTAACTAGGTATATTTCATTGATATTCCATGAACATGAAATCTGATTTCTGTGGCAAAATGCATTAAGCCGTAGTTATACACTTGCAGAACTGGCATTTAATGTTGCATGGCACAAAAATATTTTTTTTTTTTATTTTTCTTTGAGAAGACCATATTTGACTCCTCATCAAAGCTAGGCCCATTACTTGTAGGAATACATATACACTTTATATAATGCTGAACACACTAATATTTGTAGAAGTTGAGTGATTTTGCAATATGTAGGCATTAGTGAATTAACAGCATGTGAGATATTTACAATATTTCTCCATGACCGGTAAAATTAAATGCAGTACAGCAGATTGTGCATTCAGTTTATACTGCAGCACCATGTGTGACGACTGTGGCACGTACATGCACTGTGTGATGACTGTGGCACGTACATGCACTGTGTGACGACTGTGGCACGTACATGCACTGTGTGACAACTGTGGCACGTACATGCACTGTGTGACGACTGTGGCACGTACATGCACTGTGTGACGACTGTGGCAGGTACATGCACTGCGTGACGACTGTGGCACGTACATGCACTGTGTGACGACTGTGGCACGTACATGCACTGTGTGAAGACTGTGGCACGTACATGCACTGTGTGACGACTGTGGCGCGTACATGCACTGTGTGACGACTGTGGCGCGTACATGCACTGTGTGACGACTGGCACGTACATGCACTGTGACGACTGTGGCACGTACATGCACTGTGTGACGACTGGCACGTACATGCACTGTGTGACGACTGGCACGTACATGCACTGTGTGACGACTGTGGCACATACATGCACTGTGTGACGACTGTGGCACGTACATGCACTGTGTGACGACTGTGGCACGTACATGCACTGTGTGACGACTGTGGCACGTACATGCACTGTGTGACGACTGTGGCACGTACATGCACTGTGTGACGACTGTGGCACGTACATGCACTGTGTGACGACTGTGGCACGTACATGCACTGTGTGACGACTGTGGCACGTACATGCACTGTGTGACGACTGTGGCACGTACATGCACTGTGTGACGACTGTGGCGCGTACATGCACTGTGTGACGACTGGCGCGTACATGCACTGTGTGACGACTGGCACGTACATGCACTGTGACGACTGTGGCGCGTACATGCACTGTGTGACGACTGTGGCGCGTACATGCACTGTGTGACGACTGGCACGTACATGCACTGTGTGACGACTGTGGCACGTACATGCACTGTGTGACGACTGTGGCACGTACATGCACTGTGTGACGACTGTGGCACGTACATGCACTGTGTGAGGACTGTGGCACATGCACTGTGTGAGGACTGTGGGACACACACTGTGTGACGACTGGGGCACACTCACTGTGTGACGACTGGGCACACTCACTGTGTGACGACTTGCACATGCACTGTGTGATGACTGTGGCACGTACATGCTCTGTGTGATGAATGTGGCACACGCACTGTGTGATGACTGAAGATATCTAGATGACCTGATAGCCATATTGGGAAATATCAATCATAATTAAAGTTATAGAGAAGAATTTATTTGACTTTTTTGTTATTACATCAGTATACCCTTGGTGGTATTTCTGTGAGCGAAGTCTCCTTTGACAATCACATTGTAGTTGTTATTCTTCAGCTGGCATTATGCTGTTTTAGTACTCCTTATAGAATATTATTTGATGTGGGAATCCCGATAATCCTATTTATTGACTGTACTCATGTGGTGGTTTTGCCATTTATATGTTAGTTTTATATGTGCTATTCCATACCAATACACTACCTACTAAAATTTTAATGATTCAGAATAATGAGAAAATTCAAACATGTCAATCTGATCATTTGACAGCAGATCACCCCAAAACTCTGACACACTCAAATTTTATCTATTTGGAGTAAACTACGTCGCTGCATGACATTGAAGTGTGCAAAAAAAATGATGTCAAATTCTAGCACTTTGTTTTGTTTATATCAGACGCAAAAGCTATAACACTGAGTGCTAAAATTCACACAACACAAGTTTTTATAATTATTTCATGTTGTTATCTCTCATTGAATTATCACTACAAGCAGGAAAAAGATGTATATGCAGTTATAACAAAAATACTGCAAGTATGCACTCAGGTTTTCAGACACACCTGACCTCAGCTATGTGCCGTTCGCTGCAAACATGTGCTGCCTTCATGCCTACTTTGCGATATCCTCATCATATCCTGTTTTTTGAGCATGTTTGGTACCAGTGTAACTCCTTGATAAGTTTTGGCAGAAAACATTATTTGTGCAATTCAATAATAATATCTTTAGTTAGCGCATATGCGTCAGATTTACCAATAAATCCAGGTAATTAGAACACTTGTGCATTGAAGTTTTCAATAAAAACATCTAATAAGTTTTGCTATGTTTGCATTTTACAATAAAATGATACACTACTGTTTTTATTAGGATCCAACAAAATTATTTAAACATGCTCAAAAATACAGTGAGTTTATCAAAGGCAGTACGGTGATTGACCAAAATGTAGTGGAGGTCAATGTTATTTTATACTTCTTGTGATAGCCTTATTATTGTACATCTATTGCTGCTTGTACTTAAAGCGGGGCAGTCGTCACTTGCGCATGCGTCAGATGGCCATAGCCTGTCATTGTTTACAAACAAGCGTCTACCCATGAGCTTTTCCGTTTTTAGCGTGTGTTGTTATCTCGCTTTAATTTAGTGAAAAAAATGCCTTCGATCAGTGTCATGAGTTTATTACACTGCATTGTTCATGAAAAAAGTGTTCAAATGTGGCATAAATACGATGTAGATTTTTTTCAAACAAGGAAGACATTGCGTTCATACAAATTTTTATTCTAATGTTTTTCCTTTCGGATATATAATAATCAAAACGTTAACATGCATCAATAAAAGTGTTTACCTTCATTCGTCGATCATGAACTCCCACCATGACTTGGGAGGAAATAAATAAAATTTCAATGAATGTCCAAGGGGATAACACAGTAGACCTTTAACTCTATTACTTCCACAGCACTACTAAACATTGATAATTGCCTGCTGTATACTGTCTTCAAGCATCTTAAATCTAATCTAATGACAAAATACGTTTTTCTCTCATGATCCTGAGCAATAGAAAGTTATTTTTTGCATTTTGGCCGCAGTAGTTTTTGGCACACATCTTATGATCTCATTTAAATTCTTTTATTTATCATTAGTATTTACTTTCATACTCATACTCAGTATGTTTCACCATCAGGTTTTGTTTTTATTTTGAAAATCATGCACAAATACTGTAATCCATATTCAAGTTTTGTAAATTATATAAAATAAAGTACAAAAATGTAGGTTCTTTGAAATCAATTTTGAAAAAATCTCGGCTTTTAATTACTGAATATTAACTATTGATGAAAACTGCCATTGAATAGAACATGTGTCGGATCATGAACGCTGTCAAATTTGGTATTATACAATACACTGTTACATCACTAATTGCATTGCATAATTGCATTAAGCATGTACTGTTTTTGACAAATATATTACCAGTATGTGCATGATTGTGAATTTGGATTTAAGATTTGTAGAGAAATATAATTTTGTAATATTATTACATTTTTCTGGGCTACGCTCTGATGTTTTGAGCGCATATGTTAAATGAAGTGATTAATTCAATTTATAAGGAATGCTATACTGACGTGTGGCATTTCCCCCGATTGGATTCGGTAGTACATATCTGCGTAAACATAACGTGATTTTCCTTCCAAGCAACCTTAACCACCATGAGATCTAAATTTGAAAAGATTGAAGCGTGAGATTCTGTTGCAATATATTGATCAAAGTACATGACTTGAATGAATAGTCTAGAATCAAGTAAACAGTAAACCACAAAACTGACAATATTAAACTATGTCTTGCCGCCGCAGTACTGTGGACAATCTCAATGTCAAGTGCCCTCACAAAATAAAATATTTTTCGCTCAGTAACCTGAGCACTGATATTTTTATGGTGTGCATTATTGGTGTGGTTGTAAAAGTGTTAATATTATCAGTGATTTGCTGGCATTAGTTAACATTTTCTACTATATTGTCTGTTCTACTGATTGAACCTCTAGTTGATATTTAGTAACTTTTAAATTAGTGAATTTTGTAAACTGATGAATTTAGCTGAATACAATTGAACATCTTATTTTAAGATAAATAATTATAGTGGTTTAGACTATAGGTTTGAGGGTGTGTCTGTCTTATCACAAATAACAAGAACCTTTACTCTTAAAAACCACACTCTTAAAAACTTGCTAATGGTATTACTTCTTTCCTTGCATAATTTTTATCCTCAATTATCAGGTGAGCAGTATTTTATTTTATCACTAGCAGTACATGCAATACCTGAATAATTGCAAGGTGAATAAGTCACTGGGAAAATCATGACATCTTTGTGGCAATGCGAATTCACTTGTCTCAATCTATTATATCAAATCACAGACATTTTTGGGAACAAAAGCGGTTGATAGTAGCTGTTGAATAGTTGGTTTGTGCAAAAGAAAGTATTAATCCTCAAGATACTAATGATTGGGTCAGTATTCAGATTGAATACCCATGATGCATTAGTTCAATCCCTGGGATTAATGAGTGGGTCAGTATTCAGATTGAATACCCATGATGCATCAGTGAAATCCCTGAGATTAATGAGTGGGTCAAAATTCAGATTGAATACCCATGATGCATCAGTGTAATCCCTGAGATTAATGAGTGGGTCAGTATTCAGATTGAATACCCATGATGCATCAGTGTAATCCCCGAGATTAATGAGTGGGTCAGTATTCAGATTGAATCCCCATGATGCATCAGTGTAATCCCTGGGATTAATGAGTGGGTCAGTATTCAGATTGAATACCCATGATGCATCAGTGTAATCCCTGGGATTAATGAGTGGGTCAGTATTCAGATTGAATACCCATGATGCATCAGTGTAATCCCTGAGATTAATGAGTGGGTCAGTATTCAGATTGAATCCCCATGATGCATCAGTGTAATCCCTGGGATTAATGAGTGGGTCAGTATTCAGATTGAATACCCATGATGCATCAGTGTAATCCCTGGGATTAATGAGTGGGTCAGTATTCATATTGAATACCCATGATGCATTAGTTCATTACCTGAGATTAATGAGTGGGTCAGTATTCAGATTGAATACCCATGATGCATTAGTTCAATCCCTGGGATTAATGAGTGGGTCAGTATTCAGATTGAATACCCATGATGCATTAGTTCAATCCCTGGGATTAATGAGTGGGTCAGTATTCAGATTGAATACCCATGATGCATCAGTGTAATCCCTGGGATTAATG